TTTAACTTCTATATATTTTTGGGTGTCACGATGTAAATCAATTTATCTCTGATTAATTTCGAAGTAAATAGTGTTCATATTAACATATGCATTTAGTAAATAATAAACTAAATTTGAGTCAAATTTATTATAATACATTTTCTCAAGTTAAATTCATATAATAGTTTGTTATTTAGTAATTTTATTTATAATAGTTTATATAATAATGAAATTTGAATGAAATTTATTACAAGTTTAATTGTTTAGTTGTATTGTTTTAGTTAAATTAGCAACATATTGAATAGAAGTAGTGGCAACCTGTTGGAATAATTAAAAATAACTTAAATTGGTTTAATTTAATTTATGAATATGCTGAACAAAAATTGCTATATGCTGCTACAAAATTTTACATAGAAATTTTTAATAATGAAATAAAAGTACAGTATAGAATGAATCATAAATTACGACTCTGACTATTTTTCGAATCAAGCATCGCGACGTCAAGTCCATAAAAATACAAAATGAGCCACTTGACCTCTTGACATGTGAATGTCATTGCGTATATGTTCGTGCCGTTGCCAAATAAGCAACGCTATCACTAATCACTCATCACTCTATCTGAAGTTTTCATACATTTGGACATCAACAAATTTTAAAATTACTCAGAAATTAAAATCGCAGTCGAAAATTTAAAAACACTTTTATTATGTAATATTATCAGCATCATCATCATCATCATCATCATCTTCATCATCACCATTATTAGAAGATTTAAAAAAATTTACGTAATTAAGTGATAATAAAATAAATTATGACAATGAGTTATTTTTTATTAACAATACGCGACTTGAGTTAAAATTATAGGCTTCTTTTATAATTTTATTTTTATCCCAAATTACCTTTTTCCGTGATTCGCACAAAGTAGCGAGTTTTAGGTACCTACAATACGTTCCTATATCAGATGAGTTTGCGCGATGCGTGCATCTCGAAACCTCGCGCGTCCGTTTTTCCGGCGGCGAGCTTGCACGTGCCGCATAAAGAGAAACGTCTTCATCCGACGAAAGCTTTCACGGAGATGCGGCAGGTTTCCCAAGTGAGGAGGAAGAAAAAGAGGCGTGAAAAGAGAGGGTGGATTTTACCGCGAAGACGCGGTAAAGTCTTTCTCGCCCATCTTCCCATTCTCCGCACCAAACCCTCCCGCAGCAATGCTTTCCTTACTTCCGCATGCCTAGCTTCTTTCTTCTTTACAAAATAACAAGCGATGTGAATATGTACTTTCTTTTTCTGAAGTATGATTAAAATTCTTAATTTTTAATTATTATGAATCGGAATATTTGAATAACGTGATTACCGTAGTAAAAAAATTTAGTCTAATAATCAAATTCAGTAATCCATTCCAGCGTTATAACATTTTGTTAGCATTTTGTCTCGAGGTTTTAACGACCAAGATTTCGATATATACGATTTATAACCAACAGTCTCTCCTTAAATTAGAAAAGAGAGTAAGGCAAGAGATAGCAAACAAGTTCGAACTTTATTCCGATAATGTAACTTTATCTTTCGCACGTAGACAACTACGCTGCCCATTGGGTACCCTCCTTAATTTCCCGCTCGCTTAACAATCGCGCTCGAATAATTTCGCAACCTTAAAGTCGCATAAACTTCTTTACCTTCTCCTGCTATATCTTTCCTCTCCCCGCCTTTCTTGTTCTGCGGAGTCGCATTTCAAGTCTTGTACGAGCGACGCTGTAATGATCATTATTCTCGTTACAAATTAAAATTACACGGCAATTGGGAGGACTCATTACGCTATTAAAACGTGCTCAACAATTTAACTGTCGTATTTCGTCTCGTTGCGCGATCCTTGTTACCACTACTTATACGTGATTGTTAAAACGGTAGATAAACAACGTACATATCTCTCGAGCATAACTGTCATTAAACGAATTAAAACAATGCAGACGAGTCCGAATGAGAAACCACTGCCAGAATATATGAGTATACGTCAATTTGAAATATGAGCGCAAGTAATGTATATTCATATGTCAACATCAGATAGATACTAACGATAGACTATAAAAACCGTAAAAATCGATAATTTATTGCTTTTTTTAAATATGTCAATTTATACTATAGATAACATTATACGAATGTAATATTGAAATCGTGTGTACTATAGCACGTATATCGGATGCATAATATTATGCGCGCACAGAGATCGATACATTAAAAGGAAATACGTTGCAAAATTTAAAAATAAAACCTTTATTTAACGGAATTGATTGGTCTAATTGAAGAAAAATTGAGAAGGAAAAGAAAAGAAAAACTATTTTTCGCTTCTCTTGACATGTATTTATCATTTGCAAGTTTTGTATTTAAACACAAAATGGATTTATATTTTCAGCTCTTTCGAATAACTGTGAGCTATTTTTATGAAACATTTTTCAAATTGTACTATTATCAAAATAGACTTATTTTATTATTCCTATAATCGGATGAAAGTTGATGAGGTTGCCGTTAAAATTGAAGAAGAGAACAAAGAATTTTTATCAGAGCAGTGAAGGAAAAAGAAGCTGCGACATATAATGCATCGTAGACGTAGTTGACGCCCATAGGAGTAGCCCCGACAACTTTTCTCATTACAGCGATCGATGTCGACCCAATTAAAGCTAACTTTGCAGCGCAATAAAAAAGCGGAAGGGTATCAGAGCCCGAGAGAGAACGAATGGAATAGATCGGAGTTTGATTTTGACGAGGATGCAGATATCGGCGATGTATTATGGAAAGACGAATGGAAAAGAACACAAGGAAGAGAATCTGAAAAAGAGTAGAGGAGACTCAACGACCCCGATCGATCTATCGCAAGTCAAATATCACGTCGGAATACATTCCAGTGCGGGTTTACATATGACATTTATTTTACGCTATTTATGTCAGAAGAAATCCAATATCTAAAATACCAGCGTGACGAGTACAGGAATTTTCTCAACATCAACTATCTCAACTATAAGATATTTCTATCGATATTTTCATATCGAGTCATACGAATTATCATCGTATTTTTAAACACTCAAAAAGTGCACTATTTAATGAATGCCAACATCAAGAAGTATTGGCAGCTATTTCTAAATCAAATTCATTTTTTCGTATAAATTTAAACATTCTCGCTTATATTAATGAAAAAAAAAAAAGAAACTGCAGTGTGTATACTTGATGTGAATACTTCAAATTTTACTCTTTGGAGTATCAGTTTTTTATCGATTGTTGATTTTGAATAAATATGTAGAATAATATTTCGATCATATCCTTGTAATTAATAAATTTGGTATTAATATATGCAGAGCTGAGCATGTATTTGAAATATTTTTATATAAAACACAACATTTGCAATACAAATGTACTTTGTATTTTAGCGGAGTATACGAAAGTATTACATATTTTATATTTAAAATCGAAAGATTAAAAGTTTTTTTGTATTTCGTAATTTAAATAATAAGATTGATTGTTAATCTTAGCATATAAAATACAAAATACTTTTATAAGCTTCGCTAAAATATAAAATATAAAATACAATTATCTTAAAAATGTTGTTTTGAAATAAAAGTATCTCAAATACATGCTCAGCCCTGAATATTTATATGTATTATAAAAAATTTTATAATAATATCTTTTAATACATCATATATAAGAAACTTTATAATAATATCTTCATAATGAAAGCATCATATAATTTTGAAACGCTTTCCATTTATTTGACAAAGGAAAAAAACGGGAAAAATATACACAAGAGAGTAACTGATGCTGATATTTATTTCAAACGTGTATAAATTTTACGCGGACGCATACATATAGTTTTCTCCCGCATTTAGTAGACCGCAAAAAACCGTGGCGTTTTCTTGCATGATCGTTGCGGGATAATGGGGGAGAGAGATCGAGAGTAGTTTCTTGCCTAACTCCCGACTCCCGAGGGTAGTCCACCACGCCTTCCTCATATCTTCTCCCGTTCCAACAAACCTAACAAGAAGATAGTAGAACGCTTCGACCGAAACTATCTCCGTTACTCCAAAATCTTCTGTGGTTTGCTAGTTTTATCCGCATTTTCTACTCGTTAAGTCTTCAATATTCATTGTAACCGAAAATGGATATAGCACGATGATCCTTGCAAAATAGGCAGAATACTTCATCTATGAATAGATGAGCAACGAAACTTCTAAACGCTCTTTTTTACGCATGTGTTTATCTCCATTTATCTTCCCAAAAGAATCCGCATCCCCTCAAGATGCGCGCCTATCCCTCACGCGAGCAATACAATCGTGAAAGTCACTGTACGTACTTGTGCGTTACCGCATATCTCTTGCATGCATTTCGGCGTGATCTCTCACGAAAGTTTTCTACCATCGCGCTAAAGCCCGCGACGGATCGATAAAACCCTCTGCAGTACCCCAAGCCCATGTTTATTCGGCTGTATCCAAGATGTGAGTGTCCCATTAGCTGCACGTATCGCCGCTACTTTATTTTCATCAGTTAATGCAAGCAACGTGTAATGCTCCAAGGTGCACGGATTACGCGACGCCACGACATCAAATATTTGTCGACACAATCGACGCAACGAATCTTATTCGACGTGAGCGTATACATGGTGCATGCATATGAATGGCTGTATAACAAAATTACGAAGTATAGAGATGTGTGAATATTTTCAAGGAATCCGAGGGAATCTTTCTTCCTTTTTTTCAGCACTCGCGCGCAAAACATGTTGGAAAAATAATTTTTTAATTAGAAAGTTATCTCAATTTAAAATTTAAGTATTAATTCAATTAGATTGTCTTTCTTGTTTTACATGTTTTATATAGAATTTTTTTTTTTAATATTTATATTGTAAAATTTTGAAGAAAAATTGTGTCAAACAATCAAAAATTTGTGCGCTACAAATAGATAATTCATTAGTTAGGATTTATGTAAATTATTATATTTTTCGGTAATTAGTGCATACATTATTATAATTAATCTGTTTTTTCAAGGGTTTCCTTGAGTGCGAAAAGGAGAAAGAAGAATGGTGGGGAAATGAGAAGGCATCGGACGACTTAATTACGACCGCCGCATTATATCCGTGAGTAACACATTATTTTTTACTGTAATAAAGATAATGGATCTGTGAATTACAATTAAGTATAAGTCTCCATTAGATCCATATATCTATTACTTTAAAATGGATAAACGGATTAACGTAAATGTGTAATTCTGAAAATATGTACTATACATATGTAATTAACGTCAATTCAAAGCTTATAGAATAAAGCTTGTTATCGATCAGCATTATTGACCGATAATTCTTATATGTGATTTGAAAGAATTAAAAATGTAATCTTTAAAGAACTTTACGTAGTTTTGAACAAACTGTATTCGTCGAACGTTCGCCGTGTCTATCATCCTTGCTCCTAAAATTTTTTCGTTTAGACCGTGATTTATTTCAACTCCGCCATTCATACTTACAACGCGAGCATTATCAGGTACCAAGAGAATTTTCTGTAGAAGGCTCTCAAAGAATTCGAATTCTGCACGGTCGTTACGTCCATCTAGGGAAAAGAGGAGGGGAAGATATGGTGTAAAGGGAGCCAACGAAGCCGTTGCGGCGCGCAGCTGTCGGAACATTTTACGAGATTTACGGAATCTTTAGATCGCTTAGCAGAACGCATTGCGCGCAATTGCGTTTCAAGTTGCGTTGGATAAAACTCTGACATAACTGTACGTACAGGTACTTTTGAAAAACTATCATTACATAGTCAATGTCTTACTTATTTGAGCTAATAATATTGGACATTAATTTCATTACATTAACTTTATAATTTTTTCATATAAAAGTATAAAATATGATCATGAAGTAATAATGGAACATCTGTTCCATTACTGACATAAAATATTCATTCTGCGTTCCATTTTATTCGACTGTTTTTTTAATTGCATCGTAGATGTACAACTTACTAATGGTAGAAACATTAATAGTAATTTTACATTGCTATGTTAAATTGATCTTTCAACAAACTATTTTACTATTTCCAAATCAGGACGAAAATACAAAAAAATTTAAAAACATGATTAAAAGTTCGGGGAAAATCATAAAATTTTGTTTGGAAATCAGTAAAAAGTTATGGAATTTTATAATAGGGATGAGGAATTTATGACAACCCTGATTTTCAACCAGAATTTCAATTCATGCAACTTTTTTTCCAGTGTACTATCATGTTTTTATGTATTTTACAATATTTTAAAATGAAAGCGATGTATATAATGTATGACTAGGATTATAGGCGTATCGCGTAATCGAGCATTCGGTATTAAACATAGACATATTTGAGTTGAGATAATTGAAAGCCTCAGATTTGGGACGGAGGTTAAACAATCTCGCGGATCAGATTAGCGCATTAGCAACTGCCATCCATCAATCTTATCTGCTCACCCTCTCAGAACCTGTCTATTATGTCACGAGACGCCATTAATGCGCCCGTTCAAGTTCGAGCTAATTTTAGGTGCGAAAGTAAGCCCTCGCGTGGCCATTAGATCCAAATGAGCTCTGGCCAAATCCATCTAGAGCGGGGCGAGTCGACGCCTATTGCCGTCTACTGACATCGCCGTCGGCAATGAGAAGCGCAGAGAGATCGGTTTTCTCCCTAATTAAATCGAGATTGAATTCAGACCGCTCGATTCGAGAGGATAGATTAATTGACGAGCACAAAAAATTTACGATCTTTTTTCCAGACATCATCACCACATAAAAGTGACATTCGATTTTTTTTCAAATCAGTTTTTACATTTAGATCTATTGACTGCGCGACATACCTAAATTTTTAATATTTTTCCAGATAGATTCTAGATAATACAAATATGTTAAACAATAAATATAACAATTTTCTTTACTCAATTTTGAATTATTGATACTAACATTAGTATTAATTTTGTATTAAAATAGAATTTATGAAACTCCATGAATATTTTGTTTAAGGATTATAATATGCTCTAAAGATAAACCCCAGCTTGAACATGCAACGAATAATCATGACCTAATAATAATCGGTGCTGGTATTTCGATACAATGCCACCTACACAATTATTCTGGGATTTGCGGGGCTATTTAATCGCTCGATTAAACACCTGTCTTTAAGCGGTTTCGACTTTAAATCTCGACGCGATTGCGTCCAATGTGGTCAGCAGCGTGCAGGCAATTATTGGACACATTTGTTCCGTAATTAATATCAGAAATATTGGGTGTTCCCAAAACAGTTGAACAAATTAATTGTTAACACGGTTTCCACTAAAATTATTAAAAACGATATAATAATTTTGAAATAACATTAATTTATTACAAGCTAAATTGAATTTCATGAACATAGTTAATAAAATTTGATTTTTATATTAATTTGAGTTTTGTCATTAAACTAATAATTAAGTTCCATGAAAAAACCCGTTAAAAAATCAGATTTGTTTAATAAAAATAAACTCTATTTTAAAAAATAAAATTTTACGAAGTAAAAAATGTTAATCTAATACAGAAAAAAATATATCGTCATTTTTTTTTAAATACTGTTCTTTATTAATTATTATTATAAACAATATTATCGATTGTACTGCAGTACTAACTATAAAAAGGCTTTAATAACACTTGTAAAAAGGTTTTTAATCTGCAAATATTAGAGTTTAACAATTAACTTTAACAATTAAGGATCGGGATTTTATGATATTACATGTAGGATTAATGAATCTGTCATATTCCTGTTGTTACGTTGCTACGCAGGAAAATTTTCTAACAATATCTTCACGTTAGACACGTTTGCGTGCGAAGTACGAATCGATAAGAGAGAAGAGAGCAGCGGACTGAGCAACAAATAGGCGAGGTAAATCTGCGGAAAAATCGCCGGGAAAAAAGAAATCGAAGTGGAGAATACGTTTAGGTTGCGGCGCACGACTAGGAGTCACAGCCAGTTACAAGCAATAAAAGCAGATTAAAAAACTCCATTCGCCGAACACCGACGGAGTGAAATAACGACGGGGAACCGCGAATCGGCATTTACCCCGGAGAAGAACGAGCTGGGACAAAAAGGAACCTGTATAACAATGTCTCACTTTCTTCCTGATAAGGATTGCAATTTCGCGCATCTATATTAGAGATCTATCCCGCGCATCAACTCGAAAATCGATCTCATATATTTCTAATAACTTTTTATTTTTTTTTTTTAACAATAGTTACGAACAAGAGTACTTATATAAAAATAAGTTGCGCGAAAATAATTTGAGTCTCAATTTGCATGTGCGAATTTGACGGGCCGATAAAAGCGCAGAGAGTATCAAATTGTCAAACGCGCGGCGTTTTTTGATAAAGCCGGGTTCATGTGGGAGAGCGCATTAATTCGATGAATAACATACGTCATATAAAGGGACCTTTCGAGGACCTTTATCGCGACGTCAATGGCGATTGATCCCAGTCGCTTCGATAATTAATCGGTCGAGCCTTTGAATTCACTTGCATTTCCGGTGAAATCCATAAGCGTAGAATACCGAATATAAAATGCTAGTAGTTTATCGTTTCTGCCAGAGACAGCAAATTATTTTTTGAACTTCAGAAATTCCAGGGATTCTAGAATTGTTTTCATGTAAAAAATTGACCTTTCAACCTCCGCAGTTAACTAGATTAAAGCAAAATAGAAAAAAGATTAAGTATATAAATAAACGTATAGCATGTAGCTAAGAAAAGAATTATAATATATTCACAAAATTATCTCGCTACATAATTATAGCTAAATTAATTATATCTTAAAATTAATGATACTTTAAAAATATCTTAAAATTTCATTTATTTTAATATTTTCTTAATATTAAACTTCTTCATATTAAACAGTATATTTTTTCAATTAAATAAAGATTTATAGGCTTTTTAACATTGGATTTATAATTTGAGTAAAAGAAGGATTGAATAGTCAAGTGAGAAAATTTTATATGTCACATATCAATTTAATTTACTTAATTTCTTAACGATTATTTATATCCATATAAATTATATATTATCATTAATTAAAGTAAAAATACAATAGATTTTAGATTTCAATGACAATGCTTTCAATTCGTAAAAAATTAAACGATTTTAAACTTAATATTGACTATAGAGATCCAGAATTGAAACTTTTATTAAATCAGTTATTCTTAACTAATTTATAATTAGTATTATAAAATACCGTATTGTACATTGAAATATAAATTAATTAATGTAGATTTCATTTTTATTTAGCAAACTTTTATTTCTTCATTTATTTCCGCTATCATAAGGTAAGAAAGTGTTCGACTAAGACGATGACAAGAAGAAACGTTTCTGCATATTTTATTAAATCCAAGATAAATATATGAAAAAGGAAAATCTTTCATCCAATTTAAATAAAACGTATATAAACATGTTTTATGTATTTTGATGATTATAAATCTGAACAAATTGGAGTAGATTACCGTTTTAATAAAAATGTTACGCGTATATCAGGTAACGCGATATACCTAGTAAATTTTCGCACTCGTCACGTGTTATTATAAATATAACTCTGATATTATTCCGATAAGCCTGGGAAGTATTTTATGCGATTGTTCTGGTCGACAACTTTTACAAAATATATTATAAAAATATATGTGAAAAGAGATCGACGCGGATTATACGATAATCAGTGTTTACAAATATTTATCGTCGTACATATTTTTAGCTGAACAATAATCTGACTAGAATTTGTGTCAGGTTAACCTTATATGTTATAAGGACCTGATTTGGTTGACGTAAGGTAATTGTAAATAAGGTACACCTAACAAGGTTCTCATCTGGTTTGAGTACAAGGATCTGATTTGGTCTAAAATAATCCTGAATAAAGTATACCTATATATACTTTATCAAGTCCTTATCAGAACCTGATGAGGCTATCTGATCGTTACATGACTGATCAGGTCCCGATGAACTTACTTTATCAGGATCTGATAACGAAATAAGGTCAACCTGATTAGGACCTGCTAAAATCCTTGAAAAAATTTCTAGTGGGGAATAAGCTGCTCTGTCGAAAATATTTATTATGATTATAATCTTTTAAT